GGGGACAGCCAGTGCAAAGGCAAGAAGTCCAGAAAAACTGCAAGAAGTCCAGAAAAGTAGCAGGGAGTCCAGAAAGCCAATGAGTCCAGTGTAGTTGCATCATAGAATGTGGAGGGGAGTAAAGTATATGAAGCCTGGAAATGTAGAAAGGAGCAGTTATGAAGGCCTTTAAATGCTGGAGGCCTTTCTATTTGATACTTAAGTTATATGGAGCTACAGGATTTTATTGGGTGAGTGTCACTTTGGCAGCTGAATGGAGGAGTGGGGCTTTCTCCTCACTCCAATTTGAGTTAGATGAAGCTATTGCAATATTCCATGCAAGAGAGGAAGAGGGCCTGAACTCTAATAGAAAAGTGACATATAGCAGAGATTTTGTGAAGGTAGAAATGATAAGATATGACAGCAAATTGGTTATGTTGGGTGAGTATGAATGAATCTGGGTGACTGGAAGGATGAAGGTGCCCTCAACAATAATACAAATGTGGGACAGGAAAGTTTGAGGGGAAAAATAAATGAGTTTTGTTTTAGAAATGCTGATTTTGAAATGTCTACAAGACATACATTTCAAGGTGTTCACTGCGATCTACAAGGCTATGATAGTAATAAAAGCTCTGGTAGATCCTACCAAGCCTTTACGAATAGGTTTGAGGAAGAGATGGGGGAACACTGAAAGACTAATCACCCAGATGGTCATGGGGTGATGAAATTGTTGGCCAGAGCAGCATATGAAGACCATCTACTAAGTTGCAGAGGAGTTGTAATTTGCATGGTCGAAGGGAGTACTTACTCTGAGGACATCACAAATGAATAAAGTAAGTGAGGTTTTCTCATGTTTCATATTACCTAAATTCACTTGAGTCCAGGGTGAGCAGTCTTGCCAGATAGAATGGAAACCACAATGTGACTCAGAGGTACCCTGAAGGAACAAGGATGTTTGCTGGTCCATCCAGACCACTTTTGCACAACAGGCACCATGAGTCTACCATTTCTCTAAATATCCTGAGCCTGAATTCTTTTGCTCTCATTGCAGACTCATCTCTTTTGACATCCTAAATAATTAGTTGCTGTTCTCACCTTCAGTTAGCTACTTCAGAATCAGAAGGTTAGACAGAGCAGGTTTGAGGTCTGTCTCCATACGGTGGGAGCAAAACAGAGACTTTCCTCCTGGGAGAAAAATTCATGCCTCCCCATTTCAGGCAGATGTTTTGTCAACACAATCAGGATTGATCCCCTCCTTGGCTAATCACTGTATATTGAGCATCTAGTATGGTCTCTGCTGTCAAAGAACGTACAATTCAGTTGACTCAATAGGCTGATCTATTTGCTTGGAAAGTGAGAATTTCCTACTGCCTCTAGGGCCATCTTTGTCATTCTTCAAAGCCCAATTCCTCTATGAAGTCTTCAACAACTACTCATCATTCAGGAAGTGAGGGGGGAGGGAGAGGAATCCCCATTTATGGTTTAAAAAGTGCTTTCCTCACAACTACTCAACTAGTTAGTGCCATATTTAGCACCCCCTTTTTATGGACCAGGAAACCAAAGTTCAGAGTGCTTTGCATAGGGTCAGGCAGCTAGTAAATGTCAGAGCCAAGACTTGAAAGCAAATTCTAATCTTGGAATCAGAAGCTGGAGTTCAAGTTCAGCTAATTGGATGAACTTCAGTTTCTAGTCAGTCATCTCATCCTTAAAATGGGGATTATAATGCTTTCACTATGCCTTCCAGGGTTGTTTGAAGGATGAAGTGAAATCACATATACAAAGCAGTTATAAGCACACAATGCATTGTAGATGTAGTACTATTAATTAAGCTCACACAGACCTCTCCCTTCAATGAACTCCCAATTTTCTATCAATTTTATTGTCCCAAATGAATTCCAAGTTTCTTGACAACAGAGACCATCTTAGGTGCTCAATATCCATTGATTAGCCAACAGAGAGTCAGAAGTCTAATAATATCTCATCTTTAGGGTTTCCCCACAACAAACCTTTCTAACAACAAACTAGGCAGTACAGGTCTCACCGTCTTCATTTTTACAAGTGAGGAAATTGAAGAGGTTAAGTAGCTCTTTCCTGATCATGTTATTAAGGGTTAGATTTCGCCAACCTTGTCAAACCTGATCCAAAAGTCCAGTGGGTTTTCCATTGTGACATCTTGCCTCTCAAGATTTTGGAAGGACAAGACCAGAAAGATGGCCATGAAACATGGCTTTTCCCCTGATATTCTTTCTATTGATGAGAGGCAGGGCTTTTGACACAGATAAGTTATTTTGAATAAGGGTTACTGTCTGCTGCCAGATAGCAGAGAGAAATCAGCACAGTGGACTGAGGGAAACTCACAGCTGTTCACCTTTGGATCATCATATCAACACTTACTCTCTGACCCCCACATGTACACAATTCTCCCATGCCTCTCTCTTACATACAACATCTACCCTGCTCTCCAGTAACATGGCAATAGTGCCTGGCATATAGTAGGTGCTTAATAAATGTTTGATGATTGACACTATGACATCTATAGCACCCCAACAAACATAGGGAATAGGAATAAGAACAGGACCTTCATCAGTATAAGAAACTCTCTCTACCAGTATAGGTTAGCACCTTCTCTGTAATTTAAAGTCTTAGAGAGTGTTCTAGGGCACTGAGAGGTCAAATGGACTTGTCCAGGGTCATGTGGTCCCCAGAGGTGGTCTTGAACTCAAGCCTTAATACGAGTTCTGAGGCTGCTTCCTAGTTGCTAATACATATTTTATTATTAAACATCATTCCCCCTTAAGGCATACAACCTCAATCCTTTCCTTTTGCCCCTCTTCTTCACATAATCATGCCTTGTAAGGAGGATGGTGTTACTCCTCCCACCAAAAAATATTTCCCAATTCCACTCATATCTATATGTAGAAAGACAATGTGTCCTTCCTGTTGGAGAGACCTGGGAGAGAAAGCAAGATTGGGGGTGGGGTGGTGCTATACCTAATTTTGTCCCTTAGTTGCTAGGTGACCCTGAACAAGTAATTTTCCCTCCCAGTGCCTGCAGTTCCTTCATCGATGGAATGGGGGTGCTCTCAAACCTACTTTTCTGAGACCTTGTGAAGATAGAGATAGCAAATGAAATAGCAGTTGAGAGGTGCACTGAGCTGCCCCATCAATAAGGAGTTCCTTCTAATTATTATATGTGCCCATCTCCCATAGACTTCCACCCACAGAATATGTTGCCCTCTTCCTCAGGGGTAAACCACTTCTTTCCATACCCCAGCTCCAGCAACCTTGATGTTACTGGTCCGTTTCTGTTTTTGTGTCTCTCTGTAGCTCACTCTCTTTTTCTTTTCTCTTTCAGTCTCTGTCTGCGTCTGTGTGTGTGTGTCTCCCCCACCTCCCTCTACTCCCTCCTCTCTTTCTCTCATACACACACTAAAGGTCATTTGCATACTCATATCCTCATTTTTCCTTCATGCACATCAGTACCTCCAGAATATCAAATTTGTTCTAAGTGAAAGCTCCAGTTAAAAGCACTCTTTTCTTCTCTCCAAAAACCCTTCTCAAGAAGCCGAGTGAGGAGTTACCAAACAGAAAGGCTCATCTTGCTTTGACTGTACATCCCACAATTTGCCTACATGCTGGGCTGAGCAGGAGACCCTTATCTGCCAAGGGCTCTTGAGAACTCAGTTCTCTTCCAAGAAAGTTTCCTGAGACTCCACAACAAAGACATTTTGGGGAGTGGGAGGAAATGGATAGGGATGGGGATGGAGAGGATTGGGAAGTAGTACATCCACATATTCAGATGACAAGGCAAGTTAACCCTTTTACCTGGGAGTCTGAGGGCTCTGCAGCAAACAGCCCACTGGCAGTTTCTTCAACTGTTTGAGACAACCGTGGGTGAAGGAAAGTGTGGGCGAGTTTTACAGCAAATGGGTGTGCGCCAGCCAGCCAACCCCCACTCTCCAACCTTTGCATTTGGAGCAAGAAACTGTAATATCTCCACCTGCTTCCCTGCTCTCCGCTCCCCTCCTAGCCCTCACCCCCCACCCCCCGCCCCACTTCCGTGGAGGGTTATTGTATTGTCTGTCTGATGTGTGAGAGGGAAGCATGTGGTAGGGAGTGTGCGCCTCAGGCTGCGTGTGTGTGAGAGAAAAGAAGGAACGCTGCTTTGCGCTTATTTCGGGTCTTCTGCACCCTCCTCCCCAATCTTTCTCTCTCTGTGTGTCTCTCTCTATCTCGGTCTCTCTGTCTGTCTGTCTCTGTCTCTCTGTCTGTCTCTGTCTCTGTCTCTCTCCCTCCCTTCTTCCCTCGCTCCGGCCGCACGAGTGGTTTGCCTCTCCTATAGACCCTCGATTGACCTATCCATTGACCTGAAGCTCTGCGGAAGTCATCCTGACACCTCAGATTACTTGCCCTTTCTCTTAGCTTATTCTCCCGGAATTCAGTTTCTGGATAGAAGAGCCAAGTTCACCCACAGCCCCTGCGCCTGCTCGCCAAGCAATCCTGGTCCCTTTCTCGCACTCGTTCCCAGATGACAACTACTATGGCCAGCCAGTAAAGTTCAAGGCTCTTTAGCTCTCCAGCTGCCATGGGGCTCCCTTCTGCAGCTGGCTCCCACCACGCGCCCCCAGTGCCCGAGCTCTAGCCGCTGCTGGCAATGTCACCCCAGTACTTTTTTGGAACAAGGCTAGTCTTGGGGCTGGAAAGAGATTGAGCACATACAGGCAGGCACACAGTTTGGCACTGACAGATGAACAGACACACACAGACACACCGACAAGACGGGTCAGGGAGACGCACAAACTGACACAGATGAGCGCCCCTGCCCCCAGAGCCGGGGAGATCACTAGTACTAGGAGCAGCCAAAGACTTAACAGAAGGTAACTAGATCCCACACTGCCAAGACCTTACCTCCCGCCTCCTCCCACCCCCTTCGCCTTGGGGCTGATGAAGATTTTTGTTTTGGCTTTTCTTTTCTTTTTTCTTTCCCCAAGAGCAGCAGGCAGCGCTGGTGCCCATCCTACCTGATGGTATCCGTCCGCTGGTCCCGTTTGACCCCTGGAGTAAGGAGCAGAAAAACTTTCGGTGTCTTCTCTAGCTCAGCCTCTCTCTACTCGGGCACAGCCAGCGAGCCAGTTCTGAGGGAAGCTTTCCCAGGCACGGAGCTCCTACAGGCAACTTGGCTCACAGCCCAGCCTCTGTTCCTCAATCCATCCCCAACTAGAGGAACCCCAGTCAGGCAGGCGGAGGTGGGGCTACCTCTCCGTTCTCGCAGCTCATTGGCTCGGGCGCCAGCAGCAGCAGAGGTCCGGGAGCCCTTCCAGAAAGCCTTTGTTTCCTGCATGACAGCTGTACATTTGTCAGGATTCCCCCCCCCTCCCGCCCCCCCCATCTCAAATATGCACCAACTTGATCCGTGCTCGCTCTTGTTTCCTTGAGACTGGCTGGTCTCCCTTGCCCCAATGTCCCACTGCCACCCTTAGTTGCGCTTCTCTTCACTCCTTCTCCCTTTCACTTTCATTGTGGTAGTTTCTTTCTTGCCCCCCCCCCCCCCATTCCCCACCCCCCTTTTCCTTCTCCTTTTTTTCTCCCCTTTTTCATTCTGCCCTCCCCCACTCCATTTTCTAGCTATCTTTCTCACAGTTCTCTCTTTTCTCCTTGCCTCATACCCCTCCAGGAAAAATGTTGAATTCTTCCTTTTATTGCCAAGACATCTCTCGACCTTTACCTTTTTGGAACAGGATGGGGCACACCGTGGGTGTCAGCCAAACAGCTCCCCAAACCATTCTTCTCAGAGGCTAGGTTCTGAATGAAAGGTCAAGATACAAGGGAGGTACCCATTTGGTTCCCTTCTCTTCTCTTCAACAGATATTTATTAAGCCCCCATGGTAAAGTGTAATTGTTAATAATCCAGATTCTCAAGGAGCTCATAATCTAATGGAAGGGAAAGACATGCGTGAAAACACCTATGACGTAAAAGAGAAGGAAAGAAATACAAAGGAGTGGCCCAGGCAAAATACAAGAAGAAATTTCTGGAAGAGGAGACCACTTTTCCTTGAGGGAGGTAATGGAGGCCTTCATGGAAGAGGGAACAACTGAAATGGGCCTTGAAGGAAGGGTAAGACTTCCAACAGATGGATCTGGGGGAGGGAAGAGAGAAAGGAGTCCATTCCAAACAATGGGAGAAATTCACGAACAAAGATAGCTGAAAAGACAGACAAAGAGACCACTTTGAAAAGTGGGGCCAGGCACAGTGTTGTAAGTCATTTGAGGAGGGAGAGACCACTGGAGATAAAGCTATAATGGTAGCTGGGAACCAAATTGCAGAGGGGTTTGAATAACATGATAAAGATTTCATACTTTATTTGGTGGGCAATGGAGAATCAATAGAGGTTTTAAAGAAGAGGCGTGAAATAATTATAGTAATGCATTAGAACGATTACTTGAATAAGTGGTGGGAAGAATAGATTGCAAAAAGAATGGACAGGAAAGCAGAAAGACCAGTTAGGAGGTAATTACACTAGTTTAAGTAAGAAGAGGTGAGGGCTGCAAATAGGGTGATTGTGACTGGAGTGGTATTATAAAGGTAAAAATGACAGAATTTAATTGGATCCATTTATGTGGATGTGTGTGGTAAAGGGAAAGGAAAGAGCTTAGTGGTTACAAGCCCCAGTTACTGGGAAAATCAATCAACAATCAAAAAGCATTTGTTAAGCACCTACTACGTGGAGCTGGAATTGAGCTAAGCACAGGGGATATAAAGACAGAAGTGAATTGGTTCCCGATCTCTTCTAGCTTATAGAATCAACAGAAATGAGAAGTTGATGAGTTTGGTTTGTAGAATGTTAAGTTCAAGATGCTAATAGAAAAGCTATTATGCTTTATAGAGAACTTTGTATATATTATATATTTGATTCTAACAACAAATCTACGAAGTAGGTCCTATTATTATTATTATTATTATTATTCCCATTTTGCAAATGGGAAAACTAAGGCTTAGAGAAGACATGTGACTGATTCATGGTCACACATCCAGAAAGCGTCAGAAACAGGATTTGAATCTGGGGTCTCCTTTCTCCAAGTTTACCACTACACCATGTTGCTTTTCTAAGTAAAGATATCAGCAGGCATTTGTAAACATGGGCCTGGAGCTTCTGGGGGAGATTTTGGAAATAAGGACATAGATTTGTGAGTCATCTGCAAAGAAATGATCATTGAAACCGTGAGAATGGGTGAGATCACCAAGAGGGAGAGTGTAGCAAGAGAAGAGGATTAAGGACAGAGTTTGAGGGGGGAGGGGAGAGGGAGGAAGACATACATTGCAGAACCAGCAAAAGACAGAGACATAGCAATAAAGGAAGGAGATGAACCATGAGAAAATGCATTATTGCAGAAGCCAAGGGGAGGGAGGGCATTAAGGGGGGTATAGTCTACAGTGTTAAATACTACAGAAAGTGCAAAGAATTATAGTGTTTTAGAGTTAGAAGGGACCTTAGTCCAACCTTCTCAATTTAAAATAGATAAGAATAGAAAAGGAAGGGAGAGAGCCAGAGAGAGCCAGAGACAGAGACAGAGAGACAGACAGAGAGAGAGAGAGAGAGAGAGAGAGAGAGAGAGAGAGAGAGAGAGAGGATTTATTAAATACTTACTATGTGCCAGGCACTGTGCTAAGCAAATACAAGTAAGCAAAACAGTCCCTCTGCCTTTGAGGAGTTTACATTCTAATGAAAAGGAAAACAACACATAAATAAGAGGAGGAGGAGAGGAAGGAAGGGACCTTCAGGTTGTGGCATGGCATATAAATGACCTGGAAGTGTTATAGAAGCTAGAACCCAGCAAGATCAGGCCAAATCAGGCTTTGAAGGACGTGTTTCTTGGTGGGGGCTGGGAATTTCAAGGTTCCAGGGGAAGGAGGTAGAGATGATGGACCAAGTGTAGACCACAAGCCCTAGAGATGGATGACAAAATTGGGTTCAATGTATCTTAGCAGACTAGAATAGAGGACCAAACTTATAAAACTAGTGAAAAATATAAAGTCTTGCCCTTGGATTAAAATAAAAGACAACGCAGGGGCACAAGTATAGTATGGGGGAGATATAACTAGTTAGTAATTCACACGGAAAAGAACTACAGAATTCAGTAGAATGCAAATTCGATTAATATGAGACAGCAACCCAGAAAGTTAATGTGATCCTAGGCTGCATTAAAAACAGTTGGCATTTATATACGGCTTCAAAGTTGGCGAGTCAGTTTATATACCTTATGTCATTTAATCCATATTACTACTCTGAGAAGTAGGTACTTATATCCTCATTTTTCAGATGAGGAAACTCAAACTCAGAGGGGTTGTCACTTGTCTGGGGTCACACAGCTAGCAAGATTTGGAGGTGGGATTCAAAACCAGATCTCTCCTGTCTCCAAGCCCTGTTCATTTTCCACTGTCCCTCACTGGCTCAGGCAGTAGAAGCGTAGCATACAGAATGTGAGGGTTAGCAAACTGCTGTTCTCTGCCACTAGGTGGCTCAGTCGATGGAATGCTGGGCCTGGTGTCAGGAAGACCTGAGTTTAAATCCAGACTCAGATACTTCCTAGATGTGCAACCTTGGACAAGTCACTTAACCTCTATTTGTCTCAGTTTCCTCAACTATGAAATGGAGATAATAATAGCATCTAGCTCTCAGGGTTGTTGTGAGGATCGAGTGAGATCATATTTGTAAAAAGCACTCAACACAGTGCCTGGCACATAGTAGGCACATAATAAATTCTTGTTACCTTCCCCTCCCCCCTTCCTCCAATTGATTGGACCACCACTAGAGTACTGCATTCAGTTCTGTGTGCCATATTTTAAGAAGGATATTGACAAACGACCACTTGCGGAGGGAAATGACCAGGTTAGGGACAAACTCCAAAACCATGCCAAATATGTTTTGATTGAAGGAATCAGGAAAGTTTAAACTAGAGAATAGAAGAGTTGCCTTCAAGTATTTGAAGGCCTGCCATCTGGAAGAGGGATTAAACTTGTTTTCCTTGGTCCCAGATGGCAAAACAAGGAGCAATGGTGGGAGTTGTGAAGAGGCAGATTGTGGTTCAATATAAAGAGGGAAAAAAAAACCTAACAACTTCTGAACAATGAGAGCAAAAGTGGATGTGGCTGCTTCATGAGGTAGTGAATTCCCTATTCCTGGAGGTCTTAGAATGGAGGCTGAATGAACACTTGTCATTGTTTGGATATTATATATCATATAATATTTTATTATAATCTTTATTCCTGACTAGGGCAGGGGGAGGATGAGGAAACCTTTGAAGTCCCTTCCAATTTTGAGACCCCATGGTAAGTTTGCTGCTGTTATTCTTACATATTGCCTTTATACTTTGTTGTTTCTGTCCCCTTCAGCTTCCATTGGTATAGGACTATAGAATTTTTGGATTTAGATTTGAGATCATCCAGTCCAGGGGTTCTCAGCCTTTTTGTGTCCTGGACCCCTTTGTCAGTCTGGTTGTAGCCTACTGACCTCTTCTCAGAATTATGTTCTTAAATGCATAAAATAAAATACATAGGACTACCAAAAAAAAAAAAAAACAATGACAACAACCCAGTTATACTGAAATAAAGCTGTAATTCTTTTTCCCTATACAAGTTCATGGACCTCCTGAAATCTATCCATGAGCTCCAGGTTAACAACCTCTAATCTAGTCTAATTGGATCATTTTATAGATGAGGAAACTAAGGCGCCCAAAGATTAAATGACTTAACCAAGGTTCTATAGGTAGCAAGTAATGAAGCAAGACTTGACCCCACATCCTTTGACTTGAGCTGTGATGCCCTTGACACAAGAGCTTTGGACCTACAGTCAGAAGATTTGACTTGATTCACACCCAGGTAGGAAATCACTAGGTAATGGAGGCTGGAGCTGAGTCTGGAGGCTATGAATGCTGGAGAAGTTTACAATAATGTATCACACTACTGAGATAGTACTCAGGCATCTGTAAGTCTGACTAAGACTCATCTGGAGGACGAAGAGGTGGGTTAGTGATAGAGTTTTATAGGCTTGGCTAGGCACCTGAGAGAGGTAGATTTTCTTGGGGAATATAATCATCAGGTCCTAGTCTAGATCTGACCCTTCTTTGGAAATGGAGAGAGGATGACATGGCTTTCACACCATTCCCCCTGACTGAAAAACCTTT